GTAAGCCACTTCTCCTTACAAGTGTACCGTACATGGGAACCATATAAGACGGAAGGCTGCCGAGGATAGAACTAAGGCCCTACCGAACAGAGAAAGGGAGTAGTTTTTTTCCCAGTTTGCGATGCGGGTGAATCGGGGAGATCACTTTGGATGTCAGTATAGAGTCCTGGGTCGACGATGAATTTGCAAGTGAGACTTGTACTCTAAAAAGGCGTTCTGAGCATTGCATTGGTACCCGTTGCTACGGCGTTACATACCCCAGTCTGAGGCCAAATGGTATGGATCGGGCAAAAGAGACACAAGTTTGTTCCAATTTATTGATGCTTCAGATAAGTGACAGTAGTTTACTAATACATTGTGGAGTTCGTTGAGCGATTCTCTGGTATTGGTACATGCTACGGTGAGGTCATCTGCGATAGCACTACATTTCCAATGGAGCGATGGGGTTAGTCTAAGTCCAACTATAGAGTCATTGTATCTGATGTTGTCCAGGAGGGATTCTAGTTGTAAGACGAAAAGAAGAGGGGCCAATGGGCAACCTTGTCTAAGAGATCGATTCAAATGGAACTCTTCCCACAGTTTGCCATTCACATTTACTACCGCTGTTGCTTGGGAGTACATTCCCTTAACCCATCTACAGAAGGAAGATCCAAAGTTCATTTGGTTAAGGGTAGTAGGGACGAAGGCCCATCCGACTTTGCCGTATTCTTTCTCCATGTCGAGAAGCATGACGGCCACCTCCCTCTTTTCATTGCTAATAATTTCTAGAGTTTGCACAGTTGTTAGAATATTCTCAAATATGGATCTGCCTTGTACAAAGGTCCCTTGTTCGCCGCCCGTCAGATGTGGTAGGTATCTCGCTAGCCTTAGCCGTTAGGGCTAAGGCTTTGGCGAGTAGTTTGTAGGCTACGTTCAGTAATGATATCAGTCTCCAGTTGCATATGTCCCGTTTGTCTCCTTTCTTATATAATAATGTGATGATCCCTTTTACCCATCCTGCCGGTAGCTGTTTCCCTATGAATAGATTGTTGTAGACCTGAAGGAGAAATGGGCCAGACGAGCCCCACTCTATCGGCAGGCCGTCTAGGCCTGGGCACTTCCCTTGTGCCATCTGTCCGACCGCATATCTAAGTTCCTCTAGAGTAAGAGATCTATCTAAATCTAGTCTAACTTGCTATGAAAGGTTAATCTTTGAGCGGTTCCATAAATCTGAGTTTGAGGAAAGGTCGGTCTCAAAGGAGTCGTCCGGTCTTCGGGTGGTGAGAATATCTTTAAAAGAATATACGGCATAGGGACACATGTCCATTGTGGTAATTGTTGTTGGGCCATCAGAAACGAAAGGGTGGGACAATTCACGCATCAGGGGTTTGGTACTTCGTAGGAGGAGAGACCTAAATGTGATTAATACACATTTCGTTAAAAGAGAACCTTTTGATTGTTCACTTTTTGTAACAAAGCCAGAATTCATGTTGGAGCAACATAAGTAAGAGAAATCCATATTGACAATATGAACTGAGGAGCGACATAAATAAAAATAAATCGAAACAATCATTGCTAAGTGTTGCTAAGTGGGCAGTGATATGGGTCAACCGCCATCGCTTAGAGTACTCGACCCATCAACCTTCAACTTGTTACAGAGCCTATGACAATTACTGAGTCGACCGTTAGCGAAACCACCCCCCCCC